ATCAGCCTAGAGAACCTTGTCTGGACTGCCTCCAATGCCAATATATATTTCCTTCGATAAAGGGTCCAAAACTGTTCATAGTACTCCAGCTCTGTTCTGACGAGTGCCTTTATAGTTTCAGTGAAACCTTCCTATTTTTATATTCTGTTTCCTTTGAAATAAAGGCCATTTGCCTTCCTTTGGATGCTAGCTTTTTGTCTGTCATGGATGAAGACTCCCAAATCTTTCTGTTCTATAACTTTCTGCAGTCTTTCTCCATTTAATAATCTCCTCTATTTTTACTACCAAAATGCATAACATTATCCAACATTATATTCCATCTGGCAAGTTGTTTTTGCTCGCTCACTCATCCTATCCATATCCCTCTGCAGACTCTTTTGTCATCCTTGCTAGTTGCCTTCCTACCAATTTGTCATCTACAGTCTTGGCTATAGTACATTCACTTTCCTCATTCAAGTCATTAACATACAGTGAAATAATTGTGGCCCTAGCACTGATTCCTTTGGCACTGTATTGGTTTCAGGTTGCTTTCTTGAAAGTGTCCCCTTATCTCAACTCTATCTTCTAGTTTAGATAACCAGGTGTAGAGCTGGATGAACAAAGCAGGCCAAGCAGCATCAGAGCAGCAGGAAAGCTGACGTTTCAGGCCTAGACCCTTCTTCAGAAGTGGGGGAGGGGAAGGGGATTCTGAAATAAATAGGGAGAGAGGGGGAGGTGGATAGAAGATGGATAAAGGAGAAGATAGGTGGAGAGGAGACACTGGTCAAAGAGGTGGGGATGGAGCCAGTAAAGGTGAGTGTAGGTGGGGAGTTAGGGAGGGGATAGGTCAGTCCAGGGAGGACAGACGGGTCAAGGGGGCAGGATGTGGGGGTAGGGCTTGAGGTGGGAGGAGGGGATAGGTGGGAGGAAGAACAGGTTAGGGAGGAAGGGATGAGCTGGGCTGGCTTTGGGATGTGGTAGTGGGAGGGGAGATTTTGAAGCTTGTGAAGTCCACATTGATACCATTGGGCTGCAGGGTTCCCAAGCAGAATGTGAGGTGCTGTTCCTGCAACCTTCGGGTGCCATCGTTGTGGCACAACAGGAGGGACATGTCATCTAAGGAATGGGAGGGGGAGTTGAAATGGTTCGCAACTAGGAGGTGCACTTGTTTAGTGCGAACCAAGCGTAGGTGTTCCACAAAGCCTCCACTTGGTTTCCCCAATGTAGAGGGGGCCACATTAGCAGGTGTGCAGGTGAACATCTGTTTGATGTGGAAGGTCTTCTTGGGGCCTGGGATGGGGATGAGGGGGGGAGGTGTAGCACTTCCTGTGCTTGCAGGGAAAAGTGCCGGGTGTGGTGGGGCTGGAGGGGAGTCCTGGAGAGAGTGGTCCCTCTGGAAAGCAGATAAGGGTGGGGAGGAAAAAATGTCTTTGGGGTTGGATTGCAGATGGTGGAAGTGTTGGAGGATGATGTGTTGGATCCGGAGATTGGTGAGGTGGCTCGTGAGGACGAGGGGGATTCTGTATGGTTATTGCGGGGAGGGGGTGTGAGGGATGAGCTGCAGATGTGGCAGAGGCGAAAGAATTGGGAATGGGGTTTTTTTTTTTTGTTTTTTGCAGGAAGGTGGGTGGGAGGAGGTATATTCTAGAATCTTCTATTAGTTAGCTAATCTTCTATCCATACTAATATGCTACCTCCTGCACCTCGGGTCTTGTGTTATTAAGTAGCCTAATGTGTGATACCTTCTTAAATGCCTTCTGAGAATCCAAATATATTACATCTATTGCTTCCTCTTTACTTATCCTGCTTGTTAGCTCAAAGAATTCTTGTATATTTGTCAGAAATGTATAATTACCCCTTAACAAAGCCATGCTGTCCTCGGTTCATAGAGTTGTACAGCATGGAAACGGATCCTTTTGGTCCAACTCATCCCTACTGACCAGATACCTAAATTAATCTAGTCCCATTTGGCCCATATCCCTCTAAACCCTTCCTATTCACGTACCCATCCAGATGCCTTTTAAGTATTGTAATTGTACCAGCTTCCACTACTTCCTTTAGCAGCTCATTCCATACACCTACCACCTTCTGTACAAAAGTTGCCCCTTAGGTCCCTTTTATGTTATTCACCTTAAACCTATGCTCTCGAGTTTTGGACTCCCCACCCTGGGGAAAAGACCTTGTCTACTTATCCTATCCATGCCCCTCATGATTTTATAAATCTCTAACAGTCACCCCTCAGCCTCTGACGCTCCAGGGAAAATAGCCCAGCCTATTGAGCGCCTCCCTATAGCTCAAACCCTCCAAACCTGGCAATGTTTTTGTCAATCTTTCCTGAACCCTTTCACGTTTCACAACATCCTTCCTATAGCAGGGAGACCAGAATTGCACGCAGTATTCCAAAAGTGGCCTAACCGATGTCCTGTACAGCTGCAAAAATGACTTCCCAACTCCTATACCTCCATGCACTGACCAATAAAAACAAGCTTACCAAAGCTGCCTTCACTATCCTGTCTACCTGCGACTCCACTTTCAAGGAACTATGAACCTGCACTCCAAGGTCTCTTTGTTCAGCAGTACTGCCCAAGACCTTACAATTCAGTGTATAAGTCCTGCCCTGATTTGCCTTTGCAAAATGCAGCACCTCATTTTTATCTAAATTAAACTCCATCTGCCACTCCTCAGCCCATTGCCCCGTCTGATCAAGATCCCATTGTACTTTGGAGGTACCCTTCACTGTCCACTACACCTCCAATTTTAGTGTCATCTGCAAACTAACTGACCATATCTCCTACGTTCACATCCAAATCACTTATAAATGACAAAAAGCAGTGGCCGCAGCACCGATCCTTGTGGCACACTGCTGGTCGCAGGTCTCCAGTCTGAAAAGCAACCTTCCATCACCACTGTCTGTCTTTTACCTTTGGGCTAGTTCTGTATCCAAGTGGCTACTTCTCCCTGTATTCCATGTGATCTAACCTTGTTAACTAGTCTACCATGAGGGATCTTGTAGTGTGTCTCATTGAAGTCCATATAGATCATGTCCACTGCTGCCACCCTCAATGTTCTTTGTTACTACTTCAAAAAAACCCAGTCAAGGTTTTGGAGTAGATCTGTAGCTTGGGTTGTGGGTGTTGCAGTTGGTTAGCTTGCCCAGCTGGCGTGTTGTTCCACAGACATTTCGTTACCGTGCTTGGTAACATCCTCAGTGCAGCCCTGGTTCTGAGGAAGGGTCACCAGACCTGAAACATTAACTTTGTTTTTTTTCCTTCACAGATGCTGTCAGACCTGCTGAGTTTTTCCAGCAACTTTGTTTTTGTTCCTGATTTACAGCATCTGCAGTTCTGATTTTTTAAAACAGAAGTTAAGCTACCTGGTCTATTGTTACCTTTTTAAATCATTTCCTTCTAGTAAATAGGTGTTACGTTAGCAGTTTTCCAATCCTCTGGGGCCTTTCCAGAATCTAAGGATTCCTGGAAGATGACTATCTACTTTGCACCTTTGCAGCCATAACTCTATATTCCTGGTCTATTCAATCACCTTATGATCTGCCTGTACTGTATGCAAAACAAAACTTTTTGCTGTGTACCTAGGTATGTGTGACAACAATAAATCAAATCAAATCAGTGTATCCTCTACCTCTAGCTACTTCTTTTAATATCCTAGGGTACATCCCACCAGGTCCAGGGAGCTTATTGGTCTTTAACTTGATTAGTTTCAGTAACACTTTTTTTTCCTAGTAGTTATTGTGTTTATTCCTCTCCTCCTTTTGCCCTTGATTATTTAGTAATTTTGGGATGCTATTGGAGCCTCTTACTGTGAGGGCTAATGCTGTGTATTTATTGAACAGCTTTGCCATTTCACGGTTCCCCAGCCCCTTTCTGTTAGGGGCGTAGGGTCACTCTGGCTTATCTTTCTTTTTTAAATATATTTAAAGAAGCTTTCGTGTCCATCTTGATATTACTTGCAAGTTTACCCACAGTTTATTTTCTCTTTTTTTTTGGTATCTTTTGTTTGTTTGTTTTCCTCCAAACTTCTGGCTTACCACTAATCTTTACCAGATTGTGTATTTTGTTTTTCTTTCAGTTCAATACTATCCTTAACTTCCCTGGTTAACCATGGTTAGCTTATCTCCTTCTTTAGAACCCTTATTCCTCACTGGGATTTTTTTTTTTTTGAGCCATGAGCTTTTTTCCAAATGTTTTGTCATTGTTCCTTTGCTGTTAATTTCCTTTCCCAGTCCACTCCACCCAGCTCTGCTCTCATTCCTTTCTAGTTACCCTTATTTGAGCTTAGCACAGTTGTTTCTGACCCAAGTTTATCACACTCAAACTGAATGTAAATTCTGCCATGTCACTGTTTTCTAGGGGATATTTTACTCTGACATCATTTATTAAAGCTGCCTCATTCCACACCACTAGATCCAAAATAGCCTGATCCCTGGTTGGATTCACAATGTATTGTTCTAGAAAACTGTTAGGAATACACTCAATTCCTCCTCGGGCTTCCTCTGCCAATCTGCCCGTTCTAATCTACATGAAGACTAAAGTCACATGATTAGTGTACTCCCATTTTTAAATACCCTATTTATCTCGAATTATTCTCTGTCCCACTCTTTATCTACTGTTAGGTCCATGGACTACTCCTATCAGTGTTGTCTTGCCCTTGTTTTTTCTTCTCTCCACCCATATGGATTCTACATCTTTCAATGCAAGATCATTTCTTGCTATTGTACTTGCTCCATCCCATACAAAACAAAATGCTACCCTGCCACCCTCTTCCTGCCTGTACTTTTTTAAAATTTACATGAATATTTAGTTCCATTTTGGTCTCCTTGTAATCATGTATCTATGTAAGATCATACCCATTAAACTGTATTTGTGCTGTTATTCATTTATTTTGTTTTGGATGCCAGAAGCACTGAAGTAAACAGCCATTAATTTTCCCTTCTGCCAGCTTTCCCTGTTTTTGACCCTATTTACTGCTTTTCTCTTTTGTATACTGTCTCTTGCTGTTCCACTCTGGATTTCATTATCCAAATAGCTGCCCTGTGATACTGCCATATGGTCTTGTTCTGTAAGCCTACATTCCTCCCAATTAGTTTAAAATTCTGTAGACAGCCATAATAATTCAATTCACCAGGACACTGGTCCCATCAGTTCAGGTGAAGCCCATCCCATCAGAACAGCTTCCTACTATCCAAGTCCTGGTGTCAATGCCCATGAACTGAAACTCATTCCACCCACATCAATCATTGAGCATCCCTTTTTTGGATTTGCTTTCCTACTTAACTTGGTATCCACAGTAACTTTGGCTAAAATATGTTGAGTTCCTTCATCCAAGTCACTAATATAGATTGTAAATAGTTGAGGTTCTAGCACTGATCCCTGTGCTGCCTCACTAAGTACAGTTGACCAACTTAGAAATGGTCCTTTTATCCCAGCATTTTTGTGTTAGTCAGCCAGCCTTCTAGCTAATATAGCATCCTCCACAGGATATAGGTCTTGTCGAAACCTTATTGAATGACTTTTGGAAATCTAAATGCGTTACAGCTAATGGTTTCTTTATCCACCCTGTTTATTGCATCCTCAAAGAATTCTAACAAATTTGTGAAACACAATTTCCCTTTCACAAAACCCTGCTGTGACTCTCGTTATTGCATTGTGATTTTCTAAATGTCCTGTTTCTTTAATAATGGATTCCAATATCTTCCCAATGACAGATGTTAGGTTAACTGGCTGACTTACTTTCCTGCTTTGTCTCCATTCTTTCCTGAACAGAAGTAGTATCTTTCCAGTGTCCAAAATCATGAAAGATCTAAATAGATAGACAGCAATTGTTCCCATTGGCAGAATGATTGAGAGCCTGGTGATTGGTAAAAGAACCAGAAGCAATGTGAGGAAAATCTTTTTAATGCAGACAGTGGTTAGGATCTGAGATGGGAAATGGAAGTATATTCTGTTGTGGCTTTTAACGGAGAGTTTGATTAAACACCTGAAGAGGGAAGATTAGCAGGAAGTTAAGGGAATGGGGCTAGCTGAATTGTGCTTGCTCGGAGCATGCGCATGATCAATTGATTTATTGTTACGTGTACCGAAATACAGTGAAAAGCTTTGTTTACGAGTGGTACAGACAGATCACAGCAAGCAAAGGATTTACAGATCAAAAAGACCTTGGAGTCACACAGGTTACATTGCAGGTTACGTTATTTGAGGTGAGTCCATTCAACAGTCTGATAACGGCCGGAAAGAAAGAAGCTGTTCCTGAACCTGTGTGTGTGTACACGAGAACGTTACCAGAGCACGAGGGGTCTTTGGCTGCCTTTCTGCGGCAGCGAGCCGTGTAAATAGTCCATGGATGGAAGATTGCCTTCTGTAATGGTCTGGGCTGTGCACACCACCTTCTGTAGTTTCTTATTGTCCTGAGCAGAGCAGTTGCCATACCAGGCTATTATGCACCTGGACAATATGCTTTCAGTGGTACATCTATAGAGGTTGGTGAGGGACCTTATGGGCGATGGGTCAAATGGTCTCCTGTGCAGTAACCATTCTCCCTGTCCTATCCCTGCTTTTTAACTGTGCACAAACCTAACTATAACATGACAGATACAAAGTAAACAAGATACAGTATCCAAATAGTTTGAAATTACTAGATTAAAAGAGTTATGGTATTAGTGTGGTCACCAAGTTCTGTTTATGCTGAGTGTAACAGAGCAGTTTTTTGAGCTGTATTGCATTTTAGATTGTAGAACAAGGACCAGAAACACTGAACATTTGTATCTTAAAATGTTAACTGGATGATTGTGTGACATGGACAAGGGCTCAGCCTCCCCTCCCTGATTTCATGGCAAGGAGACCCTGTAGAAGAGCCAGCCACTGCTACCTCCACCGAACTGAATTGCAGATTGTTTATTGTCAAGTTAAAACCAACCTTAAAATCTTAACAAGAATCTTCTTATTTGGTGCTATACAGGGACCTTTCCAATTGTAGCATGTACAAGTATTCGTGACACGATTTGTGACTGCTTGGAAGGTTTCCACTGTGAGAGCATCACTGTTGATGGCTGTGAGCAATGTTCAAAACACAGCACCTGCCCACCAGGGGAGGAGGTGGTGAGCAAAGGTGAGGTATCAATTTGATCTGTTCGCTGCCTGTGTTACAACTGGAGTTTTACCTAATTGCATCAACAAATTTGAAAACATTCATGGCTCTAATAACTTAGCAGGTCAGTACACACTGTGTAACTGATTTGCCAATTTGTTCCCCATTCAGTTATTCATGAAAAATACTTACAAAGTAACTACAAATGTGCTAGTATGTGCCACAGCACATTAAAATTCAGTGCACCAGGATCTGCTAGTCTTAAATTGCAGCACAGCTTCAGTGCAAAAAAAAACACTCTAAACATGGCCACTAAAACCATCACTGTATCTGTCAACTCTGCCTCCTGCCCTCACTAGTCAGTCACTACTTTCTCCCATGAGACCATATAAAATAGGAATGGAAGTAGGCCATTCAGCCGCCTAAAGCGTACTAAACCATTCAATAAGATGATGGCTGACCTGACATTCTTCACACCCACTTTCCTGCCATAACTCTTGATTCCCCTACTGATGAAGAATCTATTTATCTCTGCCTTGAATATACATAAGCCTCTGTCCCTACAGCTCTGTGGCAAGGAGTTCCAAAGGCATTCAACCCTCAGAAGGAATTCCTCCTCATTTTCAGTCTTAAATTGGCACCCTTATGTTCTGAGACTATGCCCTCTGTTCAAATACTCTCCCATCAGGGGAAACATCCTCTTGAGAATTCTGCATGTTTCAATGGGGTTACTTCTTATTCTTCTAAAACTCCAGTGAGTAGGGTCCCAACCTGTTTAGCCTTTGCTCGTAAGACAATCCCTCCATATCACGGATCATCCTAGTGAACCTTCTGAACTGTCTCCAATGAAATGATATCTTTCCTTTAAATAAGGGGACCAAAACTGCTCACTACTCCAGATGCTTGCATCCGTCACCTCTTCATCCTGCCTTTGCATTGCCTGTCACCTCTCCCTGTCAACTGAAGAAGAGTCAAACTGGACTCAACTTTTACTCTCCTTTTCTCTCCACAGATGCTACCAGACCTGCTGAGTTTCTCCAGCACTTAATATTATCATAACATTTCCCCCTTGTTATCACTGGTACATATTATTGCAGCAAACAACTACTGTCAGGAGAGACATTCATAATATCTACTATAGTCTTCAGTTTTTTCATTCCTTCCATAGCAGTGTCTGTGAATTTAGATTGCAGTATTGATAAATGAGCAATAATTGAATATTTTAAAGAAATAGTTGACTGTTCTCCAGGAATATACATTCCATTGTGATCTAAGAACTCTATGAAAGAGATCCATCCATGACTAGCTATTGAGGCCAATGTCAGCATTAACTGAGGAGGAGATTGAGTTTAAAGTGGTGTGTTTTTTCTCCAGAGATCTGTAGCTCGGGTTTAGGTTGAGGTTTTTGACTTGCTTGCTGAGCTGGCTTGTTCTCATTCAGATGTTTCTTCACCATGCTAGATGACATCAGTGAGGCCTCCAACGAAGCAATGTTATTCTACTCTACTCTGCTTGGAATTTATACTGTCTGGTCCATTATGGTGAGTTATAATGGACCAGACAGTGTAAATTCTAAGCGGAGTAGAATAACATTGCTTTGCTGGAGGCCTCACTGATGTCACCTGGCATAGTTATGAAACATCTGAACGAAAACAAGCCAGCTCAGCGAGCAAGTCAAAAACCTTACAAGGTTTGGAACACTGCCAAGAAGGGGAGTAAGTAATGATGAAGGGAGTGTTTTAGAAACCAGCAAAAGATGACCAAAATAACCGACTTAACGTGAGAGAAAGTAGGCTGAAAGTAAATGAGTCAGAATCGACAGATTGCAAGATCTTTATAAATATATTCAGTGGGGTAGAGTAACAAACAAATGTTGGTCCTTTTGGATGTAAAAGCAACCAAAATTAATTTGGGAAATGAGGAAATGCAGAAATTCTATACGAATATTGTCTGTCTTCACAAGAGACTTTTTTTTAAAAAAAAAAACTTAAAAGAAGCAGTTGTCCAAGAGTCTAAAGAGTGAGAAACTTAAAGTAATTTGTAAAGAGAAAGGTACCAGAGAAATAATTAGGCTAAACTCAGCAGACAAATTCCCAGGGCCTTGTGCCTTGCATCCTAGGGTTCTGAGAGAGAGAGCTGCAAAGATAATTGATGCACTGACTATGATTTTCCAAAACTCTAGATTCTGGAATGGTCCTAGTGAATGGAAATTGTCAATTTAAGAAAGGCAAGATAGAAAAATAGGAACTACAGGCTAGTTAGCCTGTCAAAAATAGGGAAATTACTGGGATCTATTATTGGGGTATGGGAGATGAAGAGGTCATGACCCAGTGATCACTTTACTGTTCAGAAGGTCTTTGGAGGATGGCTATATATCCAATGTCAGAACAGACATTGTTAGCTTAGCAGTAAGCATTTCTTGATGGAATTGGTACACTCCAGAACCTGAGTCAGTGATCTTTTAACTTGGTCATGGGGTGTGGGTGTGGGTGTCACTGGCTGGCCAGCATTTATTGCCTGTCCCTAGTTGCCCCTGAGAAAGTGGTGGTGAGCTGTCATCTTAAACAGCTGCAGTCTGTGCTGTAGGTAGACCCACGATGCCCTCTAAAAGGTAATTCCAGGATTTTAACCCAGTGAAACTGAAGGAACAGTCAGGATGGTGAGTGGTTTGGAGGGAAACTTGCAGGTGGTGTTCCCATGTATCTGCTACCCTTGTCCTTCTAGATGGAAGTGGTTGTGGGTTTGGAAGGTGATGTCTGAGGATCTTTGAGTTTCTGCAGTACATCTTGGAGATAGATACTCAGCAGCAGCATGTACTGTGGTGGAGGGAGTGAATGCTTGTGGAAGTGGTGCCAATCAAGTGGGGGCTGCTTTGGCCCGGATGGTGTCAACTACTTGTTATAGTACCACTTGTAGCCACTCTTTACGCGGCAAGTCCAGTGAGTTTCTGATCCACAGTGACCCTAAAGATGTTGATGGTGAGGTTTCAATGATGGTAATACCATTGAATGTCAAGGGGTGGTGGTTAGATTGTCTCTTACTGGAAATAGTAATAGCCTGGCATTTGTGTGGTGAAAATGTTACTTGCCACTTGTCCGCCCAAGGCTGGATATTGTCCAGGTCTTCTGCATTTGGGTATGGACTGCTTCAGTATCTGAGGAGTCGCAAATGGTACTGAAAATTGTGCATTCATCATTGAATATCTCCACTTCTGACCTTTATGATTGAGGCAAGGTCATTGAAGCAGCTGAAGATGGTTGGGTCTAAGACACTACCTTGAACTCCTACAGAGATTTTCTGGCGCAGAGTTGACTGACTTCCAACTGCAGCCACCTTCCTATATGTCAGGTATGACTCCAACCAATGGAGCGTTTTCCCCAATTCCCATTGATTCCACTTTTGCTGGGGCTCCTTGATGCCCCACACGGACAAGTGAAACCTTGATATCAAGGGCTGTCACTCTCTCCTCACCTCACCTCTGGAATTCAGCTCTTTTGTCCATGTTTGAACCAAGGCTGTAATGAGGTCAAGAGCTGAGTGGCCCTGGCAGAACCCAAACTGGGCATTGCTGAGCAGGTTATTGATGACACCTTCTGTTGCTTTACTGATGATTGAGTGTAGACTGATGGGGTGGTAATTGGGTGGGTTGGAACCTACTTGGGCAATTTTCTATATTGTCGGGTAGATGCCACTTGTAACTACTGAAACAAATGACCAGGATACATCAGAGGCTGTGAAGGGTGAAACTTGTCAACCTTTTCACCAACCTTGCATTTGTCCAGATCTCACCACTGTAGGAAGAGTTCACAAAGGACCCAAGCTTGGTAGCCTTGCAGTTTGGTGCTTTCAATCAGGTTCCCGTTGTTCCATAGTTGTGTGTGTCGGCACTTGTGTAAGGTCTTTGCTATCAATGGATATGCAGGACATGATACAAGCTAATATTTTGGCTACACTACTGTCAAGAATATATCGGAACTGATAACAGCACTCTTACGACCATGAAGAATCAGGATAGCGCACAAACCCACAGTTGCACTGTCCTAAACACACTCTAGGACCAAAGACCCTATACCTCCGACATCCAGGACTAAAGTAATGTTCAAAATACTGTGCAAGGACTGCCAAAAACATTACATCAGCCAGACAGGAAGGAAACTAGCCATCCACATACATGAACACCAGCTAGCAGCAAAATGACATGACAAACTTGCCCTCATTTTTTAGTACACTCCGACAACGAAGGCCAATGTGACCATCCTAGCTGGAGCCAACCATAGACATGCATGGGAATTCCTAGAGGCCTGGTTCTCCACCTGTAATGCTATCAATAAACATGTGGAATTAGACCCCATATACAAACCGGGGCGGGGAAGAAACTGGAAATGAGACAAAACACCAACAGATCAGATTGTATAAATACTAAGCAGAGTAGAACTACGTAGCTTTCATCAGGGGCCGCACTGAAGATGTAACCTAGCATGGTGATTAAATGTGATGTACCACAAGGATCTGTTCTGGGTCCTCTTTCCACTTGTGATTTTTGCAAATGATTTGGGTGAAGGAGCGGAAGGGTGGATTAGTAAGTTTGCAGATGATACGAAGGTAGGTTGAGTTGTGGATAGTGTGGAGGGCTGTTCTAGGTTACAAAAGGACATTTGATAGGATGCAGAGCTGGGCTGAGAAGTGGCAGATGGAGTTTAACCCTGAAAAGTGTGAGGTGATTCATTTCAGAAGGACAAACTTAAACAGAATACAGGGCTAATGGAAAGATTCTGGGCAGTGTGGAGGTGCAGAGGTATCTTGGGTTTCATGTCCACAGTTCCCTGAACTCTAGCCACCTGGGTGGCAGCTTTGTTAAGGCGTATGGTGTGTTAGCTTTCATTAATAGAGGGATTGAGTTCAAGAGCTGTGAAGTTATGCTCCAGCTATACAAAAGCCTGTTTCTGCCACATCTGGAGTATTGTGTCCAGTTCTGGTTGCCTCATTACAGGAAAGATGTGGAAGCGTTGGTAAAGGTGCAGAGGAGATTTACCAGGATGTTGCCTGGAATGGAGGGAAGGTCTTACAAGGAAAGGTTGAGAGCTAGGGCTTTTCTCTTTAGAACGACGAAGGATGAGAGGTGACTTGATAGAGGTGTACAAAATGATCAGAGGTATAGATAGTGGACTGCCAGAGACTCTCCTAGGGTGGAGGTAGCTATTACAAGGGGGCATAGTTTTAAAGTGAGTGGAGGTAGATATAGGGGAGATGTCAGAGGTAGACTCTTTACTCAGTGGTCGGGGCGTGGAATGCATTGCCGGAGAAGGTAGTGGAGTTGGACTCATTAGGGGCATCTAATCGGCTATTAGATAGGCATATGGATGATAGTGTAAGGTAGGGGTGGAGGTTTAGACTTTAGGATTAGGGTAAAAGTTCGGCGCAACATCATGGGCTGAAGGGCCTGTACTATGCTGTACTGATCTACATTCTATGTTCTACACACAAAGGATGGTAGTGGTTTGGGACTGTCTTCCACAAACTCTAGTGCATGCTTGATCACTTCTCAGTGTTAAATCAGATACATTTTTGTTAAGCAAAGTTATTAAGGAATATGGGCCTGAGGCAGGTATATGGACAAATCAGCCATGACTTCATTGGTGGAACAGGCTTGAGGGGCTGAATGGCCTACTGCTGTTCCTATCATCCTCTGATGGGGTGATAACTTAGGACTGAGGTGAGGAGAAATTGTAAATCTTTGGAACTCTGTACCCCAGGGAGCTCTGAATACTTGTGTATTCAAAGTTGAGAATGATCGACTAACCCTCCAACACTGTAGTGCTCCCTCAGTAGTGAACCTTGGACGCTGCAGCACTTCCTTAGCACTGACCCTCCAACAGTCTGGCACCCCTTCAGTACTGACCCTCCAACAGTGTAGTATACAGCCTATACAGTTTTATTTTCTAAATTTGATTGTGGACAAAAATGAGGAAAAGAAACAACTTTTAATGCTAAGGACTATGGAAGTAATGGCTGCACACTGTAAAAGCAAGTTACCGACACTCATTGTGCTGTTTATCTCACCCACTGCTTAAACAAAGCAGTGAAGATGTTCATAGATGGCACGGCACCAGGGCTTGTGTGGATTTAAATTTGGCCAGCAATAAATCTCAATTGCACAAACCTGCTGTGTTTCTCAAAGGTTATCAGATTGACACCAAATCCATGATTGGTTCCTGGCCAACTGAATAGCTTGACATTGAACGACTGAGACACACCTTCAGACTGATGGAAGGGCAAATGCTCTATCTCTGCCTTTCTTCTATTTATCATAAATTGTAGTTCTTGTCAAGTACAGGATCCTAGTCAGTGTTTTCTGTTAACTTGGTTCCAACAGACAAGTAAATTGGGGATAGATAGTTTGTGTGCATTGATTCAGTCACTAACTTTGGTGACAACCCTGAGAGTAGCAGAGTTTGAAAATCACTGCACTTTCCCAATTGGGTCAGGTCAGTAGTGTCTACTTTGACCTGCTTAAGTCTGTGGGACATGAACTTGACCCTTTTTGAGCAATGGCTCCCTCCAAAGCACACTGTGTTGCATTGACCAAAATCTGCCAAAGCAGTAATAGGAATGCTCCAATGGACCTTGACAGCTGAGACAAAGTTCTGAAATCGGACAGAATCTGTTATAATGATAATGACTCCTATTGGAGCAGAATCTTATTTAAATTGAGGGAGAGAGCAGAATGCTGAAATGCATGGAGATCTAGGTGACCTTTATGAATCGCAAAAAGTCAGCAACAGTTCTGATTTCCAGCATCTGCAGTTTTTTGGGTTTTTAAACAGAAGATCAGCAGACAGCTACAGTAATAACAAATGAAATGTTGACCTGTTATTGTAAGAGTATACAAACAAGTCATCCTACAACTGGATAGGACATTGATTAGACTGCACCTGGAGTGATTATGTACTGTTTTGGTCTCCTTGCTCAAGGAAGGACATATTTATATGGATGCAATTCAGAGGAGGGTCACTTGGCTGATTCCTGGGTGGAAGGGTCACCAGATCCGAAACATTAACTCTGATTTGTTTCTTCACAGATGCTGCCAGACTTGCTGAGCTTTTCCAGCAACTTCTGTTTTTGCTCCTGTTTTACAGCATCCGCAGTTCTTAATGTGTAAGTGAGATCAGGATTGTACACAGCTGAGATCTGTACTGCTCCATGTTTGTCAGGCAGCTCTGACTAGAACTGTGATAACCACCCCATTATTGAGAAAGCTGAATGCTTAATCTTTGTTTCTCAGGAGCTTACAGAAGAAACACCGTGTGCCGCCGTAAACAAATTGGAAATGCTTTATCTGAAGAATCATCTAAAGAAGGGACAGAGTGAGTTGATTGTTATACATCACTTTTATTTGAACATTTTTGCTGATATGGCCTACCAATATCATGGCAGCATCACTTTCCTCTTCACCAGATTTCCCCCTTTCTGTCTCAAATGCTGAATCCTATTGAAGTGTAGTCGCATGGGTTTTGGCAGCTTTTGTTATCCTATTTCTAGTCAGATCCTGAGAGGCTTCCCAATTTATCTCACTTGCAGACAAACTCCAAATTGTTAAGCTCTTGGGGTGAGGAGGAATGAACTGGCACACCTCTATTCGCCCACCCTCTGTTAGTCAGAATAAGGTTTGTTTAGAGGGTCACCTCCCTTGATGGTATCTTTCTCCCAGACCAAATGAATTTATATTTTGACAGGAACCAATTTAATCCAGCAGTTTTGAGTTAACAAAAGTGAATTTATTTACTGTGAAAAGCATTAATAATACCTCATTTGCACAAGTTAGGTATTTTAGTCTAAAATAAGATGAAGGTTAAAAGGTATATGGATTACTCTCTCACTTGGTGACTTGTGAAGTGTATATAGTAGAATGTTAACAATTGAACAGTCCATTTCAGGATTCTAGTGTTTGCAGTTAATTGAAATCCTTTTGATTCCCATAATTCCTTTTTTACAATGGTTTGGTGGCAGCACTCAGTGAGAGCCCTTGTACTGTTTCCTTCTGACTGGCTTTGTTGGCTAGCTGGCCTTCTATCACTGGGAGTGAGGCAAACTTTACCTGCAATACAGGGATGATTAGTGGGTGGTTCTTTGACTCTGACCTTAACAGCGCACTCTAACTTGAACCTGGCTAGTAACATGAATAATTTTGGTTGTTAGCGGTCAGTTGCCTGCTGCGAGGGGGATGATAGCCAGCCCTGCCATGGTGTCTTTCTGTTGTGTCTGTGTTTTGATGATTCCACAATACTTTGCAAGTGTGGCCTTCCATTGGTCTCACACAGGACTTTGCCAAACAGCACTGAATTTACCTTCAGTCTATTTTTGTTTATTTAAAAAAAACCTCCTGTTTTGTAACAGGAAAAACAGATCTTGAATTAAAAGTTAAAAATGTCCATGGTATTTTGAGGTTCTGATCTGTCTTCATGACAGTCAGAACAGGAATTGGAACAGTCAGTAATTCTTCTTCTGCAGTTGTGGGTTATCACTTCCATCACCTGAGCCTAGCCTTGCCAAATGTCAGCAGCTGCTGTCCAGCAGGGAAGGTCAGAAACCAAAACCCCAAAGCATGCCACTAATACATATTCCCATTCCCATTCCCATTCCCACCCCACAATGCACAAGTGTACCCCTGCCCTGCTACCCTCACCTTTGCTTTCTTGCTTTCTGCAGGTTTACATCACCACCCTAATGAAAGAAAGAGGTGTGTATTTCATAGCACCTCTAACCAGCAAATGATTTTTGAAGTGTGCCAACTTTTGTAATGGAGGAAATGTTGCAGCTAGTTTACTGTTTGTGGGAGCTTGCTGTGTGGAATGTTCTGTTAAACTGTTTGAGGACACCAGAGAGCTCCCCTACTCTTCAGATACCCTTGTGGAAATTTTTTGCCCCACCTGGAAAGTAGATGTCTTGGCTTAATATCTCCTTGGAAAGACGGTACCTCTGGCAGTGTAACACCCTCTTAGTGTAACATTGGGAGGGTCGATCTGCAAAACATGCTGAAGTCACTATAATAGGATGTGAACTTTTGATCTAAGTCAGAGGGTAGCGGTCTGCCTACAGTTCTTCTATCACCTTGATACAATGGAGAACAGCTTTCCTCAACAAGCACACCTGTAAGTCATGTGGTTCTCCATAGGGGTTGCACTAAATTGCCCAAGAGATGGGAATATTTAAAGCTGGAACTTTCTCCCTGGAAACACTGTGGATAATTTGGGCAATTAGTAATTTCCAGTACTGAGATCAATAGACTTTTGTTGAGCAAGCTTGCAAAAGATGGGGACAAAAATGGATAGGTGGAGTAGAGGGAAAAAAAAAGCTGACCAGGATCAAGGAGATGAATGTGAGATAACAAGGTGTAGAGCTGGATGAACACAGGCCAAGCAGCATCAGAGGAGCAGGAAAGCTGATGTTTTGGGCCTAGACCCTTCTTCAGAAATCTTTTATCTCCTTCTCCCGCATCTGCAGTTTCTACTATCTCAAACAATTTTAACCCCACTGCAAAGCCAGTTTTCCTGCTCCTCTGCTGCTTGGCCTGCTGTGTTCATCCAGCTCTAAACCTTGTTATCTCAGATTCTGCAGTTCCTAATATATCTGAGATGAATGATGCTTTCCTGTTTCTATCTCAGTAAGTGAGCTAGCTAGCAGCATGTCATGATCCACACCTGGTATTGTATTCTGGGCTCCTATTGAGCAGTGACTGAAATGTGCAATATAATCCACGAGCATCAATAGAATCCCTACAGTGCAGAAAGAAGCCATTAGGTCCATCAAGTCTGTACCAACCCTCTGAAGTGCATCTTGCCCAGACCTAGCCCTTTCCCTATCCCACACTTCTCATGGCTAACTCACCTAGCCAATGTATCCATGGACACTACATGGCAATTTAGCTCCCACATCTTTGGACTGTGGGAGGAAACCAGAGCACCTGGAGGAAACCCACGCAGACAGAATGTGCAAACTCCATACAGTCACCCAAGGAATCAAACCTGGGTCCCTGGTGCTGTGAGGCAACAGTGCTAACCATTGGGCCAACTGTTATGTGGGCAATCTCACACAGGCTACTGATGCAGGAAATGGAATAATATCAAACAACCACTGGACTCTACTCTGACATTGAGTTTGTGACTCATTGCAACACTAAAAGGAGCTTTATTCTGTATCTAACCCCACAGTCCTGAGAGTGTTTGATAGGGACTGTTGAGGCTGCTTTCAGTTTAAAATAGTAGAGGGAGCTGTGCATTCGTAGAACATAGAACATTACAGCGCAGTACAGGCCCTTCGGCCCTCGATGTTGCGCCGACCTGTGAAACCAATCAGCATTCCTCCGTATCTAACCCTGTGCTGTCCCTGTCCTGAGTGTGTTTGGGGACAGTGTGGAAGGAGCTTAAATTTCAGTTTTAAAGGAGTAGAGGGAGATTCACTCCTATCTTAGCCCATTTAATATTTACACAATTCAACAAACAATTTGTAATTGTTTGTTATCAATGGATCATGTCTGTGTGAAATGTCTTTTTTTTTTTTTTTTTGAATTTTTATTTGCTCATGGGATATGGGCTTTCCTTGCTTTTTTAAAATTTGAGCTGATCAGGGAATGTGTGCCACTAGCTGGATTGTCATTTATTGCCGTACAGAGAGGAATTTGCAAGTGACCATGTTCCCAAGTAGCTGCTACCATTATCCTAAGTGGTAGAGGTCACCAGTTTGGAAGATGCTGTCATTGTTGGGTAACAATTTGTTTCATGAGTTACTGGCTCAGTGGCTTCATTTAAAATAAAGAATTGACACAAATGTGGAACTGTCACTGAGCCTGCACAGTAGTTCCACTTAATCCCATTACTCCTCAGACCCTCAAATCCACTCTGCATTGAATTTATAAAAATCTTGCAATTTATATTTCTCAATGTTCATCTTGTTCCAACAGAGTGCCTGTGCCTGGACAGACAGGGGATACATCTGGATGCATTTCCTACATCTATGTCGTAATCCTTTCAGTGCTGTTGGTTATTCTATTAGCGATACTTTTGTTCCTGATGAGGAAATCCTTGACCTCTTGCTTCCACTCAGGTATTTCTCGAATTTCAAAAGATTGTGAATTGATTTTGCGTCCACGGTATGGAAACGTTGGAGCTCTTGTCTAGCAAGCTGGGAAAAGGAAATCTTGGGGCTCAGAAGTGGTTGTTAGGGTCAAAGCTGCTATTGTCAAAGAGCCAGGGAGACAGGTGATGAAAACAAAAGCAGGGCTGTGTCTGGAGTAAACTACAGAAGCAGCAGTGTTTGTCTCTTGGTGTCAGTGTGTGTGTCGGGCAGGCAAAGCTGGCTCAGGTGGGACAGGGGTTGTGGACAGATTTGAAAACAAGGCCTGGAGCCCAGAATTTGAGTGACTGTAGTGCAGGGATCCTGTGCAGAGTGTCGGGGTAGGATATCAGAGGCCTAGAACTGTAGGAGAGGCTCGAGATGAGTTTGGAGAATAGAAGGAGACTTGGTGGGGGACAAGAAGCAGAGTGGTAAGGGGAGGGGGAGGGGGTTGTGGGGTGAGTGGGTGAGGAGAGCGGTCGGATGGTATTAATGGGAAAGGGCATGGGGGAGAGCTGGATTGGGAGGATGGACTGGAGTTAGTGTGTAAAGGAGAGTGCAGGTTTGGGGAGGTAGTTTGGCAAGGATAGTGGAAGTGGGTGGATGCTGCCCAGGGTGGGAGAGTGGTGAGAGGAGGATATTGACTTGTTTGAGGGGCTGGTGGATTCACCGTGAAATGGATATGTGTTTACACAACAGCTGAAAAGACTGTTTCTCGTCATTTGAGGTGAGTTCTGAGTCAGACTGATTATAGATCAAGCTGATAGACTATGGTAGCAAAGATTCAAGGATGTTTGGGCATGAGGTGCTGCTGGAGTTGCCCAAATGGGCAGCAAATACAAAGTGCAATGTTGCACGTGTGTGAAAATGAACAGCAAAAGATTAAGGAATAAAATGCATCCTAGTAACCGTCAAGCCAAAATGTGAGATGGCCACCTGAAGTATGGGACAGTTGGTCATCTTGGCACAGATCTATCATGGATGCATCTGTAATTTCTTATGACATCACAGTTTCCATTGAGTGACAAGAGTTCTGTTAATTCGGGTGTTTTCTGGGCACCACATCTCACCTGTTTCAGAGCAACAGCCTGTAGAAATCTCCTGAACCATGTCATTGTTGTCCTTGCCTCACATCAACTTACTCAGCACCACTTGAAGGGAAAGGTTGGGCCTTGGCTGCTGATGTGGGTGCTCCTGAAGCAATATCAGTAGTACACTTGTGTGCACTCATGTCATCTAACTTTGTGGGTGGATTCTGCTGACAGGGGCCTGACCCACCAATAACAATCCATTAGGTCAATCCAACAAGCAATCGGAAGAATTGTGATGAATAGAGGAGCACAGCTGAAAGATTGCAAGGATCCTAGTTCAATGTCATCAGGTATTAAAGTGACAGCAAAATACTGAGTGTTGGAAATCTGAAATAAAAACAAAGTATTGGAAATACTCAGCTGGTCTGGCAGCAACTGTGAAGAGAAACAGTTAATGTCTACACTCTAATAAACTTCTTTGGAACTAGAAATGCAGCTCTGAAGAGCTGTATTCAATTTGAAACATTAACTGTTTTTGTCTTCGCAGATGCTGCAAGACCAGCTGAGCACTTACAACACTTTCTATTTTTATTTAATTATTACCAGGAGTTTAAGAATCTTATTAAAAACTATTTTATTTTTGTCTTTTAGCTATCGCATGGTATTCCAAGGTAAGCCAATTTTGTTTCCTGGATGAAGCTTAGTGTTCATTATAATCTGGGATCAACCAGAAGGTGGGGGGGTAAAGTGTGTGCTATGGATGGGAGTGATTGTGCCATTTAGCTTGCCCATTGGAGCCCAATTCACAACGATTCAAGATGAATTGTAATTCAGAGTTGGTTTGATTTCCTTGTATCACTGTTTCCATGGAGATGAGTTACAAGAATGACAATGACTCATTTTTATTAGCCAACCGATGGTTGAGATGACTACCAGAGTTGCTAGTTATTGGTGTAGATCTATTACTAATAGTATCTCCAGAGAGTAATTTTCTGAAGGGTCCCGACCCGAAACGTCAACTTTCCTGCTCCTCTGCTGTCTGGCCTGAGGTGTTCCTCCAGCTCCACACTGTTATCTCTTACTACTAGTGTCTGATCTGTTCCATTTCTTTTGAAGGAAGGAACTGCATGAGATATCTGACTTTATTGAACTCTTGAAGATGCAGATAAGGGACTTGGAGCTCTTGTTGCAACTTTTCTAACACCATTAAATGATTATTATCCAGACATGGAGCACTATCAAATTACCAATATGATATTACTATCTGTTTAATAATGCCATTCAATAATGAGCAATCCTCATCCAGAGCTTAAAAAAAATATACAAGAATATTAACTGATGTAAATAGCCATTGAACAACTCTCTCCTAACCGGAGACTAAGTTTGAATTAAATATTAGCTAAAAGACCCTTTACCATTACTGCTACAGTTTTTCAAAATTTTCAGAGGCTAATCTTCTTGATGTTTTTGTATCCCTCTTATGCATGTGATATTTGTCCCTGTTCTGCTGAGTTATCCTAAGTGTATGAATTGCCTTCTGTTGCAGTTGCTTTTGTCTCTGCTCATTTCTTCTTAGCCAGTGGTCAGTTAGCTCAGCTGGTTATAGCATGGTGCTAATAACACAAAGGCCATGGGTTCAGTCCCCATAATGACCAAGTCTGTATGTTTTGGGGACAGTGCGGTGGCTCAGTGGTTAGCACTGCTGCCTCAGCGTCAGGTACCTGGATTTGATTCCACCCTCAGGCAACTGTGTAGAGTTTGCACATTCTCCCCATAACTGTGGGTTTCCTCCAGGTGCTCTGGTTTCTTCCCACAGTCTAAAGATGTGCAGTTTAGGTGGATTACCCATGCTAAATTGCCTGTAGTGTTCAGGGATGTGTAGATTAGGTGGATTAGATGTGGGAAATGCAGGGGAATGGGTCTGGGTGGGATGCTGTTCAGAGGGCCAGTGTGGACTTGTTGGGCCGAATGGCCTGTTTCTGCACTGTAGGGATTCTGATTTCAGCATGATTTTGTTTTGCCATGGCAATTCTTAGTGTTTGGATTCTACTTCTTCATTCTCAATACACCACTGATAACCTAGTAAGGTTGTTCAGTCAGCTTTTGAATGAGTTTGTCAACTACTTCTGCCCTTTTTTAAATGATGAAATCTGCATTTAGGTTACCTGCAACCTTTGGTCTACAGGAAGATCTTATTTAATTCATGAGATGTGGACATCACTGGCTGAGCCAGCACTTATTGTTTTGTCTCTTGTTGCCCAGAGAGTAGGAGTCAACCACATTGCTGTAGGTGTTGAGTCACATTTAGACTAGACCAAGTAAAGTCCAATTTCCTTCCCTAAAGAGCCGCCTTTTTTTCTTTGGCAGCAATCAATGTTGGTTACATGGTCACTGTCAGGCTAGGTTTTCATTTCTGATTTTATTAAATTTGAATTTTACTATCTGCCATGGTGGAAATGTGAACCCCTGTCCCCAGGACATTAGCCTAGAGATCTGGATTACAAGTCTAGCAACTTATCACTACACCACAGCATCCTCCAATGTAATGATGTTACAATTGGAGTTGGTCAGTTTGATACAACAGTCGTGATATCAAATGGTTTACAGACCAAAACTAGCATTCATCCACCTCTCGCCCACATGCAGTGTGAGGAAACCAGTATTGATTGAGAGTGAAATTGTTGTAATGGAGGCTGACAGCCAGAGATGAGTGATGGTCATCTGTCACATGAGAGATTTTCTAATCTGAGAGGGGACAATCTTCAAGTCTCAAGAATCAAAACCTCAAATCGCTATCTTGTTTGGAAGATGATTGGTGATAATTTCACGATCTAAAGCTCCTCCTTTTTGGAGGAGAATGTGGAATTTGGTAGTAGGGGGTGATCTGGATACCTTTCTCCCTTCTAATATCAATGTGCAGAAACTGCTGGAGTTCCCCATTGATCAGTCAGTGAGTCTAGTGATTTAATGGCAGGCTTGGTGTTTTTTTTTTTAATTGCAAAGTTGTCAACTGTCTGTCTTCAAGCAGCAGAAGACTAAGGGAAAGGAGGCAGTTATCCAGCGACCTGTGCAAGAGCAGGGCCACGAACTGTATTTGCCAGTTTCGGTAGAAGAGAAGTCCATGGATAATTCCTCAACTCATACCAAGCCAATCTATGACTTTATAGAAGGCAAAATGACAAACTGTGCCCCACTAAAAACGAAAGATGGTGAGTATATCAGCATCAGTTTCCAATAGTGTCTGAAGGAAATTAACCTTACTGAATTTCCTGGATTCAATTATTGACTGTAATGATTTACAGGAGGGTCAGACGTGGTAGCTGTACTGGGATATGGATGTAAGCCAACTGCATGTGCAGTTGCCCTGAAAGTGTGGCATTAAGGAGCCTTAGCAAAACTGGAGTCCATGGGAATCGGGCCAAATTCTCCACTGGCTGGAGTCATACCTGGCACATAGGAAGATGGTCATGGTTGTCGGAGGTCAGCCATCTCCGCTTCAGGACACCTTTGCAGGAGTTCCTCAGGGTATTGTCCAAGACCTTAGTCTTCAGCTGCTTCATCAATGATCTTCCCTTCATTGTAAAGTCAGAAGTGGGGATATTCAATGATGGCACAATGTTCAGCACCATTTGTGAATCCTCAGATACTGAAGCAGCCTGTGTCCAAATGCAGCAAGAAATGGACAGCATTCAGGTTTGGGCTTAAAAGTAGCAAATAACATTTGTGCCACACAAATGGCAGGCAACGACCATTTCTAACAAGAGAAAATCTAACCATCTCTCCTTGTCGTTCTTTAGCATTGCAATCAATGAATTCCCCCATAGTCAACATCCTGGGGGTTACCATTGACCAGAAACTGAACTGGACAACCCATGTAAATACAGTAGCCACAAGAACAGGTCAGAGGCTAGGAATCTTCTGAGTAACCCAAGACCTGCCCATCTACAAGATGGAAGTCAGGAGTGTGATGAAATACTCCTACCTTCCTGAATAGTTATGGTTGCAATAACACTTAAGAATTGACATCATCCAGGACAAAGCAGCTCACTTGATAGGCACCACAACCACGTCCAATTAACATTAGTTAGCAGTGACTACTAGGTATAAGGTTTAGTCACCAAACCTCCTTCATCAGGACAATCCAAAGCCATAATCTCTACCATAGACTCAGCGACACTTACAGCACAGAAGGAGACTCACTCGCCCATCTTGTTCATGTCTGTCAACAAAAATCTGACTACACTGCACTCATTTCTCCAGCTTTTGGTCCATATCCAGGAGTCTATGATGATATAAGTGAATATTTAAAATGCTGCTTCAATATTGAGAGTTTGACTGAACCACCCTTTCAGACAGGGTGTTCCAGACTACCACTACACTCTGGGCAAAAACATATTTTCTGTTCAACTTTCCTCTTCACCTTCTATCTCCTACCTTTAAATCTATGACTCTGGTTATTGACCCTTCTAATGAAAAGCACCTTCCCACCTGTCAATGTACCTCAATCTTTATACAGTCATCATGGATTTAGTAAGGGAAAGTTGTATCAGACAAATATGGCTACATTTTGAGGTGGTGTTGATGGGAGTAATGGATTGATGATGTAAACACGAATTTTGGCAAGGCTTTCATCCAGTCCATGTAGCAGATTGGTCACAAAAGTAAAATCCCATGGGATTCCAAACAGTGGTGAGTTGGATCTAAAATTGGCTCAGTGGTAGAAAGTAAAGAACATTGATCAATGGGAGTTTTTGTGACTGGAAAGACAGTTCCATGGGGCAACTGGAAAGACAGTTCCATGGGGCTCAATACCATGTTCCTTTTTGTGGTATACATCAGTGACATTGATTTGAATGTAGGGCTTGTGATTAAGCAATTTGCAGACAATACAAAAATTGGCCATAATTCTGATAGTGAGGGAGAAAGCTGGAGGCTGCAGGAAGGTATCAATTGGCCAGTCAGGTGGGTGGAACAGGGGCAAATAGTGTTGAATCCAGTGCAGTGCAAAGTTATGCATTTGGAGAGGGCTGATACCAAATGGAGAAATACTGAAGAGTAGAGGAACAGACACCATGGAGTACTTGTCCACAGATCAATGAAGGTTGCTGGATAAGAAGGCATAGTAGGCAAGAAGACTTGAGGCTTTTTTCCTCCATGTTTAAGAGCTTAGAGGTTATGCAGGAACTGTATAAAACACTAGTTCAACCACAGCAGGAGTATTGTGTGCAGTTCTGGTCACCACACCATAGGAAAGTTGATTACATTGGAGTGTGTGCAGAGGAAATTTACGACTATGTTGCCAGGACTAGAGAATTTTAGTGAAGATTGGACAAGCTGAAGTTTTTTTTCCACTGGAACCAAGAAGGCTGAGGGGAGACCAATGAGGGACCCAGACTGAGAGAATAGGAAGGACCTATTTCCCCATGATTGTGGGGCCCATAGTCTGGGACATAGACTTAGGGTAAGAGATGAGTGATTTTGATGGGATTCAAGGGGGAACCTCTTCAGGTTGTCACCACCTTTGGGAATTCACTGTCTGAAAGGGTGGCAGAAGCCAAAACCCTCAACATTTTAATTTGCAAGGTAATAGACCAACAGCAAAAATGTTACTTCCATCATTTTGAACTGTTTTGGTAGAGGAAGAGGTTAGCCTGATAAACATTCTAATATTGAATCAGGGTCAAGGACTTTCCAAAACTAACATGAGCAAAATAATGGTACTAAAAGGTGACAAATTGCCATGTGGTTTCTGGAAATTTATTTCTGTAGCTTTAAATGTAGGTGAGAATGTTGCAGATGTCCGAATTATAATTTTCTACATTTCTTTTGATTTTAGAAACTGTTCCTTTTAGATTGGTAAGTTGCATGTCACTCAGCTATTGAGGAAAAGCAAGAAAAGGAATTGTAGACCAGTTAGCCTTTAGACCAATTCACATCCAGTAATGTAAGGTTGAGTTTGTAATTAAGGACATAGTGACTGACATTGGAAAATTTTCCACTTAATCGTGAATCAGATTTGCGGTCTCTAGGCCGTCTAACAGTAGATGTACTGTAGGACAGAAGAAATCAGAACACAAGGAGGGTATGTAAAAATGGTGGTAGATTATTCATGAGTGAAATCAGTCTTGTAGATTGGGCAAGTTAATTTGCAAAAGTAGATAATTTTTAAATCCATAAATGCACTAGTTATACCATACCTA